TTTCAATTAGTAATTGGAGTAACAAGTACAAGAGGAAGAGTTTGGACAGCATTGAAAATGTCCTCTGAGCTTCTTGAGGTCTTTGCCCTCAAGCTGATTGAGGTTTGCTTGGAGTCAGGAGCCGGCTCCCAGCTGCAGGCTCACAGAGAGTGCTCACCTCAGCCCGCTCTGGGGATCCGTCTCTGCAGCCAGCAGCACAAATCCTCACATCTTTTGCGCAGCCCTCTGGTCTTCGAGCACTCCAAGATGTTCATCTCCCCAGGGGGATGCCCCACTCTATCATCCTCAGGCAGAGAGCAGCCCCAGACCATGCTTGCAGAGCCCGCTCAGTGCCAGATCACTTGGCAGTGACAGGCCTGGCTGGGCTCTGGTGCCCAATCTGCCCCCTCAGAGAGCTCACACCGCGCCTTGTGCTGGGCACCAGGGCTGTGGCAGATGCAGCCCCATCCTGCAGCGTGGGAGGCTTGCCCTGATGCCTGTCAGCAGCTCTGCTGTGCCAACAGCTGCCCCAGAAAATCCTTGCAGAAGAGCCCAGCACCACCAGCAGCAAGAGCAGACTGTTCAAGGGCTCTGTGCTCATTCCTGCTGCGTGCTGTGGGTGGGAACGGCAGCAGCGCTCCTGCTCTGCCACACAGTGAGAGGGACAGCAGGGGCTGTCCCCAGCAGCTGCCTCCAGCAATGAACCTCTGCACATCTTCATGCTGTGCCATGGGGAAGAGCTTTGATCAGAGGCAGGAGGCTGTGCAGAAGGTGTGCGAGGCTCTGTGGTGGGAGGAATTTCACGCTGAGTAAAGTATCGTGCATGGAAAGATGTGGAGAGCCCATCCCTCCCCTCACTAGACAGATGACCAACACACAAGCACAGGTGCTGGGAAGGGGCTTGTCTTGGCTCTTTATGCAAACTGGTCAAGTCAGCAGCCAGTGAGACTGGGAGAGGTTTTACATGGCTGGAACTTCTCAGGCCACTCTGCAACGGGTGATGGACCCACAGGCAGGCAAGGCAGCCTTCATTTGAGCAGGCTTCCCAAACCACATTGCAAAGAGGATGCGCAGTCAGCTCAAGCTTGCCAGAGGCTCACGTGTGCTCTAGATGACTGCTCAGTGCCTGTTTCCCACAACTTGTGCCATCTGAAGCCACAGCCAGAGAACAATATATTCCCTACAGGAATACAGGGCCAGGACTGGGAGCCAAGTGCACTGTGAGGGACTGAAGCTCTGCTGGATTCCTACACTCATGTCAAGTGCCTTGTGCATACTCACTGACCCTCTGTCTGTGTGGCATCCTCAAGAGACTCGGATCCACGAGTGATTTCTCCATCTGGGAGGACTGTGTTGCAAAATGGGTTGCAAGCTAAGGAAACAGCCTGGGAGGCTGGGCTCCAAGAGATGGAAAATTCAGATTCACGTGCTGAGCTGGCAGAAGAAGGTGAGATTATCCACTTCTACCAGTGACTTCCACAAACTCTCCCACTGCAAGTACTGCATCCTGTCAACTCAGATATCAGGTGACTGCAACCCTAGAATCCTGGGCACAGACCTAAAAACATCTGGATGCAAAATGGGGCAGCAGCAGATCAATGCTGAGGTGTGATTTCCAAACCAAGTCTTGCTGCCCTCCAGCCCTGTATAAAATTTTGGATTAGCTTTCTACTGGCAGAGTAACATTATTCCTGGTCAGCATTTTGTAATAATTTGTAATCTTTTAAAAGACCTAAAATCAGATTTATCATCAAGGTTATTGGAATGTGTGACAACTCTATTAAGCATTTCAATTAGCCTTCCTCTTTGTGATAATGGCTCAAACATTCATTCCTCTAGTTTCCTGGTCAATGCACCATTTTTAAGCTGAACTGGGAAGGTGACACTTTTGAAGAGGAAGCAGTAAATGTCCTACAAACCATATACTCTGAAAGTATTAAACATCAAAAAGCATTGTGTAAACCTCATAGTCTCCAACGTGTTCTCAAGTTTCTACAGATACCACACCTGCCATGTGTGGACAGAGTTCATAACACAGACAACAGACCAATAAAAAGGTGTTAGGTACAGATATTCCTCTGGAAATCAATGCAATTTCCAGCTCTTGGATGAAAGCTCAGCTTGCTCTCGGTCAGTTTGCAGATGACACTAAGTGGGGCAGTGCTGGTCTGCTGGAGAGGAGGAAGCTCTGCAGAGGGATTCTGGTCAGGCTGGATTGATGAGCTGAGACCAACAGTATGAGATTTAGTGAGGCAAAGTTCTGAGTCCAGCCCTTGAGTCACAACAACCCCATGCAGCAAAACTGGCCTGGGGGAAGAGTGGCTGGAAAGCTGTCCAGCAGAGAAGGACCTGGGCGTGCTGGTTTACAGTGGCTGAACATGAGCCAGCTTGTTCCCCTATAAGGCCAATGACATCCTGGCCTGTGTCAGCAAAAGTGTGGCCAGCAGGACCAGGGCAGTGACTGTCCCCCTGTACTCAGCACTGGTGAGGGTGCACCTTAAGTTCTGGTGGTTTATCCATAGCAGTTTATAAATCCAGCTCTTTGCCCATTCTGACAATGCCAGTCTTGGCTGAATTGCAAGATATTTTTATGGACACACATTTTCCCATAGCCTTTGAGTACCCAAACCCTTAACTAATTTCCAAGTGCAATTTAGCAGTGCTTGAACATAGTTCAAGTTCCTCCATGAGGAAAGATGAAGAGCACAGTCCCCAGAACATCTCATCATTTTTCCTACTCTTCTGGAAATTTTGAGTTATGGTAAGTGCTAAGAATTCAGATCCTCATTTACTGGTAGGTCTGCATCATTGCTTATAATTTCCTGTGTACATTTTGCAGGAATAACAGGGTACATCTAATAATTGTTCTTACAGATACAAAAAGCTCTTCATGGTGGTAAAAGCAGGAATTAATGTTAATGAGTCTGCTGTTAGCAAGGAGTACTATTGGTGTTATGCTCACGCCTCACCAAATGCAAAGCTTGTTTGTTAAGCAGATGCCAGTGTTAACAGCCAAATTCTCTTCCCATGGATAACTTAGTGTTAGTTAAATGTACCATTAAAAATAACCATTTAAAATGTTAATGAAAAGAGGAGTTGTTCTTGCCAGGGTTTATCTTGTCTTTTTAGCCTCAGCTTTAGGGTGCTGGAGGTGAAAAGGCAAAGACAGCTTTTCCAGGTGTGTTCAGGGCACACACATGGAGGTGAAGACCTGGTAGTGCTGTTGTCATTCATGTACAGCACCACAAACCTGGCCTGTTTCCACCTCAGTGACCAGCCAGTAAAGCTCAGTACTGACCTTAATATCCACAGAGCACAGAGGTACCCCCTGCCCTGGCACTCTCCCCTCCAGCTCTACTGGGATCCTCCACGCTGCATTTCCTGGCTCTCCCAGCACCATGGAAGGGAACGATGGTGATGGTGGAGGGTTCATAACCCATTGCTCTCTTCAGTCTCAAATAGCAAAGGCGATGTAAATGCTACTCACGTTCATGTTCACCCATCCTGCATGCACCTCGTGCTCAGGGATGTACCTCTGCTTAGCCCACTGTTTGTGCTGAGCTTCTGACAGCTCTGGTTTTATTTAATTTCACACCATTTAAGAAAAGTCTGTACTCTACTGGAAACAAGGCTTACACTGTTCTAAGTGTTATTTTCCAGAAACAAAATTAGCTATAACTTTTCACAGAATATACCCCTGCTTTGTATGCAGGTCTCAAGTCTCTGCCCCAGTGGACTGCAAATAGGCAGCAGGAGAGACAGTGGAAGATGACATAGAGGCAGTGAAGGCAGCACATAGGTGTGGGCAGAGCAGACCCAGAAATAGGAAGCCCTGGTTTTTCACGATCCAGCAGTGAGCGAGGATGAGACCACCTCTCCTTCAGAGCTGCAGCCAGGCTCTCTCCTGCAGCCCAGGCTGAGCCTGGCCATGTGCAGCCTGGTGCTGCTGCCCTGGTGTTGGGTGCAGGCACATGCTGCCCTGTGCAGTGGCACAGTTAGGTGTGTCCTTGGGGGCTACCAGGAAATAGAGATTCTCCCACTGGGAAAAGGACAGTGATGCCAGGCTGTGACAGTTGGGTGGCATTTAGATGACACATTCCCCATTACAGTAATTTGGCTGTAGATGTCCTGGGTTGTCCAACCCTCACATTTAAATTGCCCAGGTGCTGCTTTCTCCTTTGACCAGGTTTTTTCTGCTTCTTGGTTTTTTCCCCCTTTGGCTGTGTTTGCTTGTAAACTTGCCCAGGCTACTCTGCTGCCCTCTTCCTCCAGCTCCTTCTTACCTATTCCTTTCATGTCCGCTTGTGACCATGGCACGAGACTCCTGCCCCTCCTGCCCTTATCCTGGCAGCTTATTCCAAGCCCCATGCCCTCTCCATTCCCCTGCTTCTCCACTCCCTCCTTGTCATAAAACCCAGCCTCTCCAGTGTTGCATCCTGCTGTTTTCTGGCCAGCATTTCCTGCCTCCTTCCCCACCATCCCCCTTCTCTCTCTCTCTACCATTTCCACCATCATGCTTTGTCTTTTGGTGCTCCTCTCCTGTGCTTGCCTAAGCAGCTCAGCCTCAGCTCATTCCTTCCAACAGCTTCCTTGTTCTTCCCCTCCTGGGACTGCAGCCTTGATCCCAACCTCTATCTGTGCACACACATAAAATCATGCAATTTAACTAATTAAAAAACCCAAACCAAACAAGAAGCTGAAGGCAAGTGCTGACTTCAGGGTGTGCACTGCAGTTTTGTCTATGGCATCTCCTTCTGGCAGCCCCATGTCACATCTATTTCCAGGCAGCCTGCTTTCTTCATCCTCAGGCACTGCACTGAAGAGGTCAGACTGCTCGGGGTGATACAACACCCTCAGTCCCAAGCCACTGGCCCATGCCTCACTTGCACCTTGACCCTCCAAGGAAGGTGAGGGAAGGGGTATCTTGGCCCACATTCTCCCTGCGGGCTGGAAAGTCAGCACTAGACATGATCAGAGAGGAGACAAGCCAGAGTATGCAAGGAAGGGAGGGGAAATGAAGAAACATTACCTCCTTTTCATGTTTATTTAATTTTTGTATTTTTTTGTATATTTTTTTTAAGATCACAGAAGAGCAGAGCATTCATACATGTAAAGAAACAGAAACGAGATAACAGAAGTTAAATACATTGAGAAAAGAAAAAATAAAAAGCTTCTTTTTTTTATTTCATCACTGGGTTTTGTTCATTTGTTTTTTGGGTTTAATTTTTTTGATTGGTTCCTTTACACACACACTTGCGCTTTTAAAATTTTCTTTCACAGAGCTAGTTTCAAAACCAAAACAATGGAAAAAATAAAATGGCCATTTTCTCGTTTCATTAAAGAGAAGTTCAGCTCATGTCTACAGTGCTGGGGAAAAATATATATAAAGATATAGATATATATATATATTTATATGTATATAACACTGTTAATGAGGAGAGTTCTAACCACCCCACCGTGTAGCAAGAAGAAGGGACTGGACTTCATTCTCAAGGTCTAGAGGATGAATCTTGGCTCCAGCTGGGAAGGTTGAATGATTTTGGGAGGTGGCACCGTGGAGGCAAGTTCCTGCTCTGTGCCCCCTCCTCCCTTTCCTGGTGCACACGTGTGCTCCCGCAGGCACAGGCACAGGCACAGGCGTGCCCAGGCCTTCTCCTGGCTCCTCAGGAGGTCACAAGGTAGCTGTGTGTCACAGGCAGAGCCACGGCCAGCAGCAGGAAGGAGGCTGAGCCCTGCCTGGCTGTGCGTGGTGGAGCGTGTGGGGAAGGAGAGCGCCCAGGAGCACTCCCGTAGCATGTGCGCCGTGGAGCTGGCGGGCGTGTGCGTGTGAGCCTGTGTGTGCTCAAACGGGGAGCAAATGTCACAATTCTGGAGAAGGACAGCCCCGCCTGGGACGTGCTCTCCCCACTGGCTGGCTCCTAGGAAGGCCTTGCTCCTCGTCTCCACCCATGACCCCTCTGTTACAGACAGAAACATCCACACGCCTTTCCTCAGGACATGGCTGGAGCCACCACACGTGGTGCCACACTGCTTTACTCACTGAGGCCCATTTTGCTGCATGGTGAGCATGTCCCAGGAGGTCAGGAGGGAGCTCCTGATGCACCATGAGGACAGGCAGGGAAAGAAGGGCCCACCTGGGATGCAACCTCTGCCCCTTCCCCAGCTGCGCTGCCCAAGGAGCCCTGCTGCTCATGCAGCCCCCACCACCTGCGCTGCAGTCATGTCCCCCTGTCACTGCCCCCTCCTTCTCCACTCCTACAAGGCTTGCAGGGCCATCCGAGTTGCTGTGGTGCCAGCTAACCCAAGCCTGCAGCAAGTGAAGGACTTTGCTTCCCACCAGCCTGGGCTAATTAGGAGAGCTGCTCCTCCTGCCCAAGGCCTGCCTTGGAGATCTCCTTGCCTCACTCTATCACCCCGACCCACAGAGGTTCAGAGGACCATACTGACGTACTCTCACCAGGATGAGTTCTGCTCCCCCTTACAGCAAGTGAACCAACAAGCAAGCACCATATGTTGCCCCAATGGAAGCCAACCATTAGGCAAAATTCTGGGGGCTGTGGGAGCTGCCCGATCGCTGTTCTAGCAAGTTACAAGAAGGAAAAGTGAAAGAGGCTTTAGTGGTGTGACATAGCTCTTAGCCAGCAGTCATGCAATTAAAAAAAAATCATCTTCTGGGCATCCCACTGGAAATGAAGCCACTCTAAGATTAGCGTTGAGAGGCCATGGTCTCCTCGCTGGTGAACCTGAGAGTTCTGTGCATGGATGATGGACAGCACTCATCCCTACCCTTTTCCACTGGCATCACAGCTTGGAAATTACCATCCAGCTTCTCCATCACTTCCCTGCCTCAAGTTTTGCTCTTCCCATAAGACAGTTTGCTCCCAGCATCCCAAACTCAAGAAGTTTTGTGTCCTTGAGTCAGAGAAGCAGTAAGATTGTGCACCATCAGGAGAGAAAGAGAGAGAGAAAGAGAGAGAACTGCTCACCCCCCTAGCACCTCCTCTGTCATACTGTCTTGGTCAGCCATCCCCCATGTCAGTTGCTACATCACATCAAGCACCATGATGATTTGGGCTGCAGGTCAGTCTGCTTGGAGGAGAGGAAGCAGAGGTGTGAGGGGTTGGGAGGAGGAGAAGAGGTGTTTCCCTGTGCCCATAGATTCCCTCACCAGGGAAGGGCGAAGTGATGAAACACTACACAAAAACTGAGCTGAAATATCATCTGCTGGTGGGTCTGTGAAGGATTCTAGCATAACTCCTCCAACTTCCCAGATCCTCTTGTTTCATCAGGACTTCCTGCTGCTCCCCCAGATTCCTTCCAGATGTGTAGCTTCTACTCAGCCTGGAGACCACATGGCTTTTGATGGTGGCTTTGTCCATGCTGTGGGCTTGGACATTCAGAACGGGGTTGCTCAGACAGGTGGCTGGGGGCATGGTCTGGATGCACCTGGAACTAAGAAGAGCTGGTGGGGCTTGGATGTTCTTTGACCAAAAGTGGGTCAAGCAGCAGTGCACGAGCGATCTGCCCAAGTGGTGAACAGTCAGTGGTGTGAGAAAGATGTGCAGACAAAGACTAACTCTTGACACAATGCATGTCACCAATGAGATCTCCATGAATGGCACGTTCACATGCACTCGGGGTTAGCATGGGGCGACACAACTTCACCGGTGAAGAAAGCGGGTACGGGGGAGGAGGAGGAGGAGGAGAGGGTGCATCACTGAGCCACGAGTGTGGGGCTGCAAACAAACAGAAATGAACACGACTGCCAGGATACAGGTGTCGGCCGGCCGGAGCATCCCACAGCGCCCTTCCCAGCCGTTCAGAGACAGGCGTTTGCTTCGTTTTCCATCTGACCAGGCACACGCTCCAACCAACATGCTACAATCATGCATGGAGTTCATGTGGCTCGGGGTGGCTGCATTTCCCCTGCCCAGGTCCTTTCAGAAAGACTTGCCTTCACCCCTCCTCTCAGTCATCCGAAAAGGGTTAGAAATCTGCTAGCAATTATGGGGCCATATATGAAATCTAAGTTTTTGTTCCTCTGCTTTGACATTACCAGACATCTCATGTAACTCTTGTAATATTTACAAACCAGTAGAAGAAATACAATTTTTTTTTCCATTTTGTTCATATCTTTTTATGACACTAAATGTTAAATCTCCATCAATCAAACACAATTACACTGACAAGCTCAAGGAACTGGTGTCCCATTTCAAACACCCACCTTCCCTGGTCCCCAACCAGCTGAGAGGCAGCAGGAAGCAAGAACACAGCTTTTTGGGAGGTGATGGGAAAGATAGCAATGCAAACAGGGAAAAGAGATGATTAGGAGAAAGAGTTTCAGGGAGAAGGGCCTGAGACACAAGAAAAGCCATTGCAACATCTCCATCAGAGGATGGAGGGGAGAAAGAATGGGAAAAAGCATTCAGCTTGAGTTCAGGAGAAACAGGAAGATTTTTACGGCACCCTGTGAGGTACACTGCAGCTCACAGGATTAGATTCTTGGAGAAAATCAAGCTCCAACCTACCCATAATTTTACCCATAATTTCCCTAGGAACAGACATTGCCAGGAGTATGGTTCCCAGCACTTCTGCAGACAACAGGCATACTTGGTGTTGGTGGCTTTTCTCAGAGAGGTCTGCAATTAACTGGCTTTCACCCTGTTTTACAGCCACACAACAGAGGCAAAGATCTGCCCAGGGCCTGCAGAAGAAACCAGATCCCAGCACTGGGGCTGAGGCCATTTCCCCCACTAATGGGCAGATGATTTAAAAAAATTGATTCCCTGCTTTTAGTGAGATATCTCCCTTTTAACCATATGCCTTGACATCTAAAAAAAACCATCCCCTCAAAACTCCTTTGAACCAAAACAGACGTGAGATAATGAGGAGCTGGGACTCAATGACCACCACCACACCGTAGGGGTCTGATGTGTGTGACCCCAGTGGCCAGGAGTGACCCCACAGTGACAAAAACACATGCAGAGAGCACATGGGACAGGTGCTACCATAGCAACCGGGTTGACATCAAAGAACCTAAAGTGGGCTTGACTCAGCCCTTAGGAGCAGGCTGTCACAGCAAGACACTGCAGGCTGCCCACCTTTTTCAACAAATAAATCCTGTGGCAATAAATCCAGGCATAGGTACAGCCCCAAGAAAGAGCAGTGTGTGTTTTCCCTCGTGCCAGTGTGCAGGAAAGGGTGCAGCTCCCAGACCTGGCTTCTGGAACCAGGATCAGCTCACGGCTGTACCAGGGGAAAGAGGAGGCCTGCTGCAGTAGAAAATCTGGACTTGTTACTAAGACTCTGAATTAGACGGCCCTCCTGAAAGTTAGGCACGAGGACTGGGACCTCTGAATGCTCTGAAGGATGCAGGGCGTATTTTTTCGTGGGCTGACACACACCAGTCTCCAAAAGAAATGCCCAAGTCCCATCAATGACTGACAATTTTGGAGGAAGGGAGCCATCCCTGGATGCCTTGGGTGGATTTCAAGCACCAGTTGCCCACTTGTGACTTGCACCCTCTTGCAGGTATGGCTTTGGCGTCTGGAGGAGCATAAACTACCACCATCCAATTCCACAGTAGCTCTTGCAATGCCCAAACTTCAGCCTCTCATGTGTCTAATAAATCTCCTTGCTCTTCTGGCTGCCTGGGAGGAGCCCTTGACTGCCTGCTTAATTGCATGCCTGCTGCTTCTCGGAAGAGCTGAGCTCAGCAGCGCCGGCAGTGCCGCAGTGCAAGGCACAGCCTCACCGGACTGTGTCCCGCCCACGCAAAGGTGGGGACGGGCTCGCAGGCAGCAATTCCCACTTTCCCTCCTGTCAGGGGACACCTGGGGGCATCCCCTCCCGCACACTGCAAGGCCAAGCTGTTTCCCCCTTGCCTTCATGTGAGCACAGCTGCCAAGCGTGCTGCCACTGCCCTGGTGCCCAGGGCAAAGACAGAGGAGCAAACTGGCTGCTGCTTGAAAGCCGAGTGGCTGAGCACCTGTAAAACACTCTGCTGTGGTGGGATGGTCACTCGACTTCACTGGGCTAAATCAAGCTCTCCCCTGCACATCCCTCTCTCCAAAAAAGGCCTACCTGATAAACCCTGTGCTTTATCATCTTTGCTGCTGGTGGATACTATGGCTCGTGACAGGCCAGGGGACACAGGAATCTTCTTCCCACTGCCCCCACCCACACACAGGCACTGCAGCCCCTGCTCACTCTGGCTCTTGCAGCAGACATTGTGCTGGTGTGACAAATTCCAGCCACTGCCCACCATTTTCTCAGTCCTGTTTCTCACAGCTTTTTTTCACTTCCTCACTTGGAACCACTAAAGCCTCTCTTGTTGGCACCTCTGTATGTGATTCTGCCACAGGGGAAGTGTGGGGCACTCTCAGCAAAACCAGCACCCTTGAGATAAGAGAAGAGCAGGGGAAATTGTACTGCCCACTTCTTCGCTGCATCATTTTATGCTCCTTCTTTGTAAGCCCAGGATTTTGGACCTGACATTTGTTTTATTTCTTACATTCACAAGTCCTGGACATTTTCTGACCCAATTTCTTTCAAATGTGGAATTTGCGGTGTGTTTTGTAATAGCAGTGGTATACAGCACACACACACACACACACACACACACACTCCCCCTTACACAGCCTACATTTCCTTTTATACTGGGGAGGACAGTAAAAACAAAAACAACAAAGCAACAAAAAAGGGTATTGGCTCTATTTTTGCATGTCTACCAAAATGGTTAGGAATGACCAGATTGTGGTTTTTGTGTTGAGGTATTGTTCCTATGCACACTGTATCTAAAAGGAATGGCTGCTTGGTGATGTCCAAGGTCTCATCACTCACACCCCACCGACCCAGCCTCCCATCCCCAGGAGGAATGGTGACTGCACTCTTCAGTCCATAGTGTTGTAGGCCAGTCCTGGTTTCTTCTGCTTGCTTGGACAATTGCACATGAGTGCACACCCCCATGCATGTGTGCAAGCACTCATGCATAGCAAGAGCTGCTACACTGGTACTTGGAGGCTGAGAGCCAAACAGATTGGAAGTAGGAGAGGAGAAAAAGCCTAGACAACGGTGCAGACTGACTCTTGCAAGCAAGATGGCCAGAAGACAAAAAGCCAGTGAGGACATAGGAGAGGGGACACAATATGAACCTGTTTTGCAGCTGCCCCTCTCTCCTCACCCCTCTTCTCTGCCTAAGTGATCTCTCTGTATCTTGTCTCACACTTACAAGGCAGGACATTATCTACAACAGGATGAGCATATGTACACATGGGCTGTTCATTTTGCATGCTTAGAGAGAGCAAGAGAAAGAGAGAAAGAGGGAAGACGGAGCAAGAGCCACACATGCATGCACGCACGCACACAGGCATACACAGGAGAAAGAGAAAGACACCTGGTTGAATTGAGGGGGGGGAAGGAAGAGGATTTTAAAAGAAAAAAAAAAGTAGGCTTTCAGTAGAGTTGACACAGCTTTAGATTAGGCCTGTGGGGGTGATGTTGCATGAAGGAGGGGACAGGAAAGGAAATAAGGTGTTTAGCAAGGGCTGGGTGCACATGAGCACAGGGTGAAGTGAAGAGAGGAAGGGGTTCTTCACAGGACACCAGTGTGCAGAGAGCTTCAGGTGACTTGCTCTGGTTTGTGGCTGTTATTTTTTTTTTTCTTTTCTCTTTTTTTTTTTTTTTTTTTTAGATTTGTTTTTAAAAGTATGAACTGGCTGAGCATTAGCTCACAAAAATGACCCAGGGCATCCAAAAAGTTAAATGGCTATAGACAACGAAGCAAAGACCTCTTTCTGCAAAAGAAAGAAAGAGGAGGAAGGAAGCAAAGTGAGGGAGTATGGAAAAGAGGAAGGAGGAGAGAAAAGAAAAGGGATCTTCTTTTTGATTGGCTTTGCAGGTTTTGTTGGATTGTTTACATTGCAGCATCCTCTGGCGACACGATCCTTGCTGGTGCCCCATTCTCTCCCTCGCTTCGTGTTGCCTCCTAGGCAGTCGATGACTTGACAGCCGGCTTTTCAGGTTTTGGATTAAATGTTGCTGAGTCTTCTTTGCTGTAATTTTTCCTCTCCCCCCTCTTCGCTCCTGAACACACAAAAGTTGTGAAAGAAACAGTCGTCTCTCTCTCTCCCCCCCTCTTTTTTCTCTCTCCCCTCTCTTCGCTCTGTCTCCTGTATAACGCGTTTTGTTTTGTGTGTTGTTGTTGTTGTTGTCGTGTTGTTTTTTTAATTATTATTAATATTATTATTTTAATTCTGATTTGTATTAACATTTGCTGAGTAGGCAGAGCAGGGATGCTGCCAGAAGCCACAGTGGGACGGCCAAACTCATGGAGCCGTTGTCTACTCTCCCTGTGCCGGGTCCTGCAGGGTGCGAGAAGGGAGAGAAAAGAAGACAAGATTACACGAGGCTGAGTGAGATGGGTGTGACACAGGAACACAGTGCTTCAGTCCCAGGCTGCTCCTGCAGTGCTGGGTTTGGGCTGCAGGGCACAGCCTCCTTCCCACCTTGGTGAGCTTCCCTCCAGCCCAGCTACAGGCTGCTGCCTGCCAGCTCATCCGCATCCTCCTTCCCTCAGCCCAACACTCCAATGGCATGTGGCTCTCCCTAAACAACACCCACGCTGGAGGAACAGGGCCTGAAGCAAGTGGGAAGGCTCAACCCTGGCTGCTGACCACATCCCAGCCCTTGCTATGCCTCCAGCTGGGAGCTGCTGGCCTTTCAGTGCAAGGATATGGTTCATCCCTTTGCAGATCCAGCCCCTGGTCACCACCCCCACACCTTCCCGCTCTGCTGCCTTCCCAGTGGTGGCCCTGAGATGCCAGGACTCCTTATAATTGTGCACAGTGGCCAGTACCTGTCTGCAGGCAGACACCAGCTCCACAGGAGCTGATTCATCACCGTGGTCCAATCAATAAAACATGGGCCCAACCAGCAGACACGTCCCCTCCCTCCCTCCCAGGGCTGCACCGTAATGAATTGTCTCTGAATCAGGGTGGAGGAAGGCTTGGCTGTGGCACTTAAAGCCCTGTGGCACGACACCTATGGGGTGAGGGTGCAGGGTATGCCAAGGAGGTTGATTTTTCATAAGGTTGGGAAGTGAAGTTGCACGTGTGTGCTGCGCATCCGCAGGCTCCTGTCAGAGGGGGCAGGGAGGAGCGCGCTGCAGCAGCAACAAATAATGCAGCCTCGCTCCGGGAGTATTAAATGCTAACACTCCTGACATCTTCTCATTCATCCTCTCATTTATGGGTTCCCTCTACTGGATGGCTTTAATGGCAGTGATGCTGTTTTAAATTCACCCTGCAATCCCAAGCCTCGACAGCCTTTTCTTTATAGCTGGTCAGGGCACATGTCTGTGGGTCTGTAAATGCAGGCTCACCCTGTGTATGTGCACACAAATGCTCATGTATGTATGCATGCACACACATGTATGTGTGCATTTATACGTATATGTGCCTGTAAGATGCTGGAGTGTGGAGATGGAGATGAGGTTTTATGTTAGAACTGATCCTGCTGTGGAAAAAAGAAATCATGCTTACTACCAAGAAAGGCTGTGACGGCAGAGGAGAGCAAAAAAAAATAAATTAAAAAAGGCCCTGTTCAGGGGAGGTCCATGAGACTGAAGTACAACTGCTCCCTCACAACCTGCAGAGGTGAAGAGCCCTGCTCTCCTGGGTGGAGCACAGGTGCCACAGGCTTGCTCAGCAGCACAGTTGCTATTAAACTCAAGCTAGTGACTAAAAGGCAGCAAATCCAAGAGCGATATCTCCAGTATCCCTCAAATTCCATTGCACTTTCATTTGTCTGATTTCTTCCTAAGGTAGCTGACTAGAGTAGCTTTTGTGCCCCAGTTCTATTATTTTATTATTAAGTAATTATGTGCTGCTTTGTGTGGAAAATTTATGTTCCATCTATGGCTTCTTTTTTTCAGCTAGTCCACGTGCAACTTTTGTGGCTTGTCACACAAATCCTACAGCACTGTTTGTTTTACTCGTTTTATTTCCTCCCCTAAACTCAGGAACACATTTCAGTTCAGCTACTACTCCTACCTCACCTATGTTTCAGAAAAAGCATCTCGCACAGTCAAATAATGGTGTGGAGACTGTTTGGGAGCTTTTGCATCCCTTTTTGGCACAAAACATGACTCCTCTGGCCCAGTAAAAAAACAAGAGTACAGCACACCAGGCAGGGTGTATTGCCACAAAAAATTTCAGCCACCACATTTTTACTATCTGGCTTAAATACTATTTGTCTTAAAACATACATGGACATGTACATAACATACTTGTGACAACCATTCCTCCTCTTTGCCACTTTTCTAGGGTGTCCTTGCAACCAGAGCAAGGGCATTTGTACCAGTGGTGGCAAGCACGGCACACCCAGCATAGCAGAGGCAAGGGGACATTTGCCCTTGGCTGGGTACTGCTGCCTTAATGCATCTAAATGCATGGATCGGAGTTTGTGAGCTTGGTGGGGACTGGGGACAGAGGCATGGCATGGTGTGGTGGTGGTGTGGTGAAGAGATGAGCTTCTGCAATGTCTAGGTGTAAGAGAGGACACACAAAGACATGTGGTGGGATGGAGGACTTGGGAGAGGGTCACACCAGCTTCTGTTCTGCTTGAGCTTGTGTGCCTAAGTTTGAGGGCATTTGAAAAGCCAAAACTCCCATCTCCAGAGATGAAAAATGATACATGTTCTCGTGGTTCCCTGTGTCCCAGTTAGATGGCTGCAGAAACCTCTTCATGTGCAGAACTGATCATCTCCTGTGCCACACCACAGGCTACACCAGCAGCTGTTCTCACCAGCAGGTGTTGGGCACTGTGTTAGGCTGACTGGGAGCACTGGGATCCAGTGTGGCCTCTGCACATAATCCTGGGGGCCACATGGAATCCCTGGGTTTTACAGCATATCTAGCTAGAGAACACTCCATGGGTGCTACATTTACTGTCACAATTACTGTAAAAATGTGGGAAGCTTATAATTCTATCACAAAATAATGTTTTGGGGGACAACAGCTGCTCGAGTGTAATAAGAAAAAGAGTGAAAGTGCTGGAAAGTAAAATGCTTGTCTTTGAGCAAGATTTTCTGCAGGAAATAACATCTGTTTTCAATTCATTCTATCACTGTCACCCTCCCTTCCCAGGCACACCTCAGGCTATGCCAGCCCATGTTTGCATGATGACTTCTCCATGTGTGTGCAGGAGCAGCTGCTGCTGCGGGCTGTGCGTGCCCCTGCCCACCCCCACGGCCACGGGTGAGCCCCACGCTGGGGGGACAGTGCCAGCTCCCACGGCGGCCACGGTGCGCTGCAGAACCCGCACACCTGAGCGCACCCGCCACCCGCGCACCGCCCTCCCCAGCGCGCCCACCCCGCGGCACATGCGGACAGGCACGCGTGGGCACAGCTCCCCAGGCGTGCACACGCACACCGCAGCCCCCAGAGCGCACAGACCCCCACACAGACCCCACCCCTGCAGCCCCCAGAGCACAGGCCCCTCGCAAACCCCCTGCCCTGTAGCTCCCTCGCCATCCCCACACATCCCCTCGGCGTCGCGGTTCCACAACCCCTATGTCACGTCCGCTACACATCGGGTCCCGTAGCCCCCATGTCACCTCCCCTCGCCATCCCGCACATCCCCTCGCCATCCCGGTCCCATCGCCCCCATGTCACATCCCCTCGCCATCCTCATGCCACACCCCCTCGCCATCTCCATGCCACACCCCCTCGCCATCTCCATGCCACACCCCCTCGCCATCCCCATGCCACACCCCCTCGCTATCTCCATGCCACACCCCCTCGCCATCCCCATGTCACACCCCCTCGCCATTCCCCATGCCACATCCCCTCGCCATCTCCATGCCACACCCCCTCGCCATCCCCATGCCACACCCCCTCGCCATCCCGGTCCCGCAGCAGCCGCGAGCCAGCCCGCGGTCTCCGGCGCCCTCTGGCGGCCGCCGCGCGGAGCCGCCCCCGCCGCTGGGGACCGGCAGAAAGCCCCCCCCGAATCATCCCCGGCTGCCCATCCCTGCTCCCTGTCCGCTGGCACGGGGTGCTTTGGGCTGTGCCTGAGGTCTCCCGCTTCGGTAACCTTGAGCCTCTGTTCTGGGAATTTGCTATAATATCCCGGGCTATTCATCCTCCCACCCCGCCCGGGCAATTGGACAGCACTGTCAAGTCCGTGACCATGCAACAGCTCTGAAGAGGAGGAAATTGGGTTTCTGATGCTAATCAGCTAATATGAATATCTGGCAGAATTTCACAGCTAAACCCCTAAGGGACCCCAGACCCTAAATGCTGACCGAGTCTGATCCCATTAAGCAAATCAAGAAGGAGCAGACTGAAAGCTGTCAAGGGCAGAACAACTGCACTGCTCTTCCTTTCTCCAAATGTGAGACAGTTGGATACCTGGTGCAGAGGCAGCTGGAGCCCTGCCATGGTGCCCAATTGTGCTGCAACACAAGTGCATGGGACACTGCATCCTGTGTTTCCAAGGCTTTATTGGTGCCACACGTCCAGCCTGGGTGATTTGCATTGGTGCCACGGCACAAGGTAGCCTTGGCCAAGATTTAGAGAGCTGTAGTTCTCGCATGGCTGAAGGGGACCACGTGCAGCCCCCGTCCCCCATCCCACCCCTCTCCCCAAGACAATGTAACCCTAGCTGCATCCTTAAATTTAACAATGGGAAAAACAACCATGCCACGGTGGCCTCACTGCTCCGGCCACACCTGCCTGTGTGCAACAGCCCAGAACAACAGCCTGGCACAGAGAGGCTGCAGGCAATCCCCCTAACGCTTCTGGGAGAACTTCCACATACTTCTGAGTGAAGATGCAGAAGGGGTGGCGAGACCCTTCAATATGGGACATCAGTAATTTCACCTAGTGCCTAACACTCCTGCATTCCATGTAGCATGGGGCAGAAGAGTTGCTGCATGCCCTCACGTGCAGAGGGCTGCAAGTCAGCCTATCCAAGGTTTCACTAGAGAGGACGTGGGGTGTGTGCTACTGTTCCAGGCTTGGTGTTGGAATGCTGTAGTGCTTGTGTGTGTGATGGTTCAACAACTGCTCCTACTCCCATGAATGGTGTAGGAAAAGACACAGCAAGAAGGATGGGGGGACTTGGATTAGATGGCAGAGGAAGATGAGAAAAGCATGGTGCTGCTTGCATTTAGAGCAAACCACAGCCAGATTGCAAAGCCAAGAGCTGCTCTCATCCTCAAAACCAGCCTGAGGAACACACCACAAGGAAAGATGTTTGCTGGGTCAGTCTAAGAGTCTTGTCTAAGCTTCAGCCCTGTCCTCTGGGGGGGCTGGGTGGGGGCCAGCCAGGAGCATGTGGCCAGCATGGCATCATACTG